TCATTGTGGGTGAACTATAAATCCCAGCAACTACAGCTCCCGAATGTCAAGGTCTATTTTCGTCAAACTCCTCCAGTGTTCACATTTGGGCATATTGAGTATTCGTGCCAAGTTTGGTCCAGATCCATCATTGTTTGAGTCCACAGTGCTCTCTGGATGTAGGTGAACTACAACTCCAAAAGCTCAAGGTCAATGTCCACCAGACCCTCCCAGTATTTTCTGTTGGTCATGGGAGTTCTGTGTTCCAAGTTTGGATCAATTCCATCACTGGTGGAGTTCAGAATGCTCTTTTATTGTCGGTGAACTATAAATCCCAGCAACTACAACTCCCAAATGACAAAATCAACCCCCCCCCCCCCCCCCCCCCCCCCCCCCCCCAGTAATCAAATTTGGGCGTATTGGGCATTTGTGCCAAATTTGGTCCAGTGAATGAAAATACACCCTGCTTATCAGATATTTACATTATGATTCATAACAGTAGCAAAGTTACAGTTATGGAAGGAGCAACGAAAAGAATGTTATGGTTGGGGGTCACCACAACATGAGGAACTGTACTAAGGGGTCGCAGCATTAGGAAGGTTGAGAATCACTGGCCTAGAGATTCTTAGGTTAAAATACACAGTTTTCACTTTTGGAAAGACCCTGAGTCCTGAATTTCAGTGAATGTGGAAGGCTGACTGTACTGCCTTTGGAATGTGCTGCCTGGTGGAGTCTCCTTCTCTGGAAGCAGAGACTCAATGGTCATCTGTTAGGAGGGCTTTGATAGTGCCTTCCCATCTGGAAGAAGGGGGTTGCACTGGATGGCCTTTTGAGGTCTCTTCCAATTCTCTGATTCTATCCCCTAAATCCAGAGCACTGGGATTGTGGCGCAGCTGGCTGAGTGTCAACTGCATTAAGATCACTCTGACCAGAAGGTCATGAGTTCAAAGCCAGCCCAGGTCGGAGTGAGTGTCCGACCAATTGTGTAGCTTGTTGTTGACCTTTGCAACCCGAAAGACAGTTGCATCTGTCAAGTAGGAAAATTAGGTACCACCTATGTATGGGGAGGCTAATTTAACTAATTTATGAGGCCATAAAAAGACTCCAGCAAAAAGCACTCCAGCAAAGCATGCGGGGAATGCGGAAGTACTCCATCAGTGTTGCAGATGGAGGATGAAAGCGACAGCTCCCCTGGCGGCCAGAAAAAGTTAAATAGCCTCTGTGTATGTCTATATATGTTGTATGTCTAATTGGCATTGAATGTTTGCCATATATGTGTACATTGTAATCCGCCCTGAGTCCCCTGCGGGGTGAGAAAGGCGGAATAGAAAAGCTGTAAATAAATAAATAAATAAATACTATTTAGTGAAAAGAGGGCCAGACAAACTTTCCTCCAACAACTGTTTCAACATGACAAGCCATTTTGTGATCTGAATAACTTGTTTTCATTGTTGCAAATCTGCATTATGGAATACAGATTCTAAGCTTGATGGAAAACAAGCCTATTCTATGGGGCTTTTGAGATTCCTCAATGATGCCAATGGGGAAGTTATGATCCGTGCAATTGATCATCACTTGGTGGGTCTCCATAGCAACCTTCTTTCTGACAAGTCAAATAGGGATTTGAGATGGTCTCAGGCACAGCTGGAGGTAAGGAGGACTCTGTATGCTGAAACAAAGGGCATATGTCTCCAGTCATCCTGCCTAATGATTTCCCCCCTAGAATCTGCCATGCCTCAGGTATGCTGTCCAAGAGTCGAAAGTTGGGAGGCTTGCTGAAACAAAACTGGAGAGGTTGAGCAAAATAATATTTTGTTTCTTAAACATGCTTTGGGGGCACCGTGAATTTTTTTTTCCCAGTTTGCAGGGGAGCAAGATGAAGTATTTGATTTCCAGGTTGACCTGACAGAAAGTGATTGATTGGCCTCTGACATTGAAAGGCTGAAGGCAACGTTTGCATAAAGTTCATGTAAGAAAGACATGAAGGCACCCACCTGGCCAAACCTGAGGAGAATCTGTCAGTCACCCCTACAAGACTTCATGTTATGTCTTTGATCTTATTGAGCTCTGATCTGGAGCTTTGATTCTACCAAGATGCAATCTGAATTGTACAGTAGAATCAATGTAGTTTAGTTGCCATTGCATAATGCTATGGCATCCTGGGATTTGTAACACTCCTTGGCAGAGAAGGCTAAAGCTATAGCCCCCAGGATTCCATAGCAGTTTAAGTGGTGTTTGTTGTTCATTCGTTCAGTCATCTCCGACTCTTCGTGACCTCATGGACCAGCCCACATCAGAGCTCCCTGTTGGCCGTCACCACCCCCAGCTCCTTCAAGGTCAGTCCAGTCACTTCAAGGATGCCATCCATCCATCTTGCCCTTGGTTGGCCCCTCTTCCTTTTGCCTTCCACTTTCCCCAGCATCATTGTCTTCTCTAGGCTTTGCTGTCTCCTCATGATGTGGCCAAAGGACTTCAACTTTGTCTCTAGTCTCCTTCCCTCCAGTGAGCAGCCGGGCTTTATTTTCTGGAGGATGGACTGGTTGGATCTTCTTGCAGTCCAAGGCACTCTCAGAACTTTCCTCCAAGTGGTGTTAAACTGCATTAATTCTATGATGTAGATGGTAGGCTTGGGTAGGTTCGTTCGTTAGTTTCTAAAATCGTAATTAATTTGCATTAAATTACCTTTTGATCCAATTTCGAGCCATGCAGGAATAGTGGGAGGAGCAATTCCGAACTGAAACAACTTCCCCATTGTTCGGAATTATTTTCGGATGTGGCTTTGCACGCCCGGCAATGCAAAGAGGGATGAGGTGGGCATGGCTAAGAACAGCTCTTCCTGAAGGCCACGCCCCCAGTGTCCTTCAAGAAGAGCTGTTCTTAGCCTCTGTGCATCACCGCCAGGGAAGGAAAACTGCGAGATTTTAAGCAGTTTTAGAATCCCGCAGTTTCCCTTCCTTGGCAGTGATGCAGAGGGACGAGCAGAAGTGGCCCTAGGTAATTTTCAAAGGTAAGCAAACAGTATTTTGGCGCCCCCCCCCAACCAATCATTGATATATATTTTCTGTTCGTCGTGGGAGTTCTGTGTGCCATATTTGGTTCAATTCCATCATTGGTGGAGTTCAGAATGCTCTTTGATTGTAGGTGAACTATACATCCCAGTAACTACACTTGCCGCACTTGCTCCCTTGCCTGGCCCGCTTTGGGTCCGGAGGCGTGCCTAAAGACCCCGGCGTGTGCACCAAAAGTCACCTCTTCTCCTGACTTTCTCCTCAGCCATTGGGACCAAGAGAGAGAGAGAGAGAGAGAGAGAGAGAGAGAGAGGTGGAGATGCCCACCTTTCCTGAAGGTAGGCGCAAAAACAAAGGAGGGAGCGGAGGTGGGAGATACCTCCATCCGGAGGGGCTCTCTCTCTCTCTCTCTCTCTTGGTCCCAATGGCTGAAGAGAAAGTCAGGAGAAGAGGAGACTTTTGGTGCACACGCTGGGGTCTTCAGAGATGCCTCCAGACCCAAAGTGGGCCAGATGCGGCGGCTCCACCCCTTGGCCCACCCGCGGATTGGGGAGAGAAGAGGAGGCGGGTGGAGCGCCGGGGGATCGGGAAAGGGAGCCGGTCATGGGGAAGGGATCGAACGTGGAGAACGATTGAGCGCCGGCTCTGCTCGCGCACCCGGTGGCCAGGTGGAGCAGGAACGAGAGGGGCTAGGTGAGGCTCAAGGGCCCGGCCCCTTTTGAAGAGGATTGCTCGGCAGCGAGACAAGAAAGCCGAGGCTCCCCCCGGACTGCTAGGGCTGTTGTGAGCTGAGGGGGCGCTCCTCAAGTGGCGGTCGAGGGGCATTTATAGAGGCGCCTCTGCGCCCCTGGCAAAAAAGGTGTTCTGTGACCGCTTACTTCGCGTAATGGACGAGCCGCCCCTGGGGATGAGGTGGGCCTGGCTAAGCAGTGCACCTTCCATTAACGAAGCAAACGAAGCGATTCGGATTTCTGATATTTTCGATCTTTTTTTCAAGAAAATTTCAGAAATCATTTTAAAAACGAATCGCCTGCGCCCCCTACATCCGAAAAGAGTTTGGAACCCCCTTTTTTTTTGATCGCCCAAGCCTAGTAGATGGCCACAACTGGCTGGAGTGTGAAATGTGGAAAATTTTGCTTTCTCTTGTCCCTTGGTATTGACTGATTTCAGCTACCACAAGAATCGTGGGTTCAAAAACCTGGCACATCTAGCTAATTCAGAAAGCCAAACCAGACACAGATTGATAGAATTTAAAACCAGAGGTAAAGAGTACACGATGAGCTTAATAGTTTGGCTCTGGTGAGCACAATAGGGTTAGTCCAATAAAATTATTATTACTACTATTATTATTATTGCTGAACCCACAATGTTTCATGTCAACTACCATATGAGTCATTTTTGGACAGGTTGTAAGAGGAAAACACCCTCAGACACTGGACCAGAGGGAACCTGAAAGACATTTTCCCAAAATGAGTTAAAAAGTGACACAAATGGATTGCCACTAGTGGACACGATTTTGCATTGTCCTGTGTTGTCGCTAAAGAGTTACTTTACACATTCATTGCATTGCATAAGTCTTATGTTGTTAACAAAGGAGTTATGAGCTGTCAGGCAGTGCTTTCAGTATGACACTCATACAACAATAATATGGCACAAATATGGTACTGGTCCCTGGCAAATTTGGGAGCATGGAGTGCCTACTGCCACATCAGATATCTTGAGAATTACTGGTGTGGAGAACACATGGGTCTCCTACCTATCATTCTACATTAACAATCAGGGCTGGTCTCACCATTTGACACAATTCATATGTTAGATGGCTGGCTGATTTTATTGTTGAGTTTTTGTTTTACATTGTGAAAGATTTTCTGACCTGAGGGCAAGGTCCAGTGAAAAGTATACCTGGCCAAATTGTGGACCCTCTGGACCTGAGACTCTTTAACTGAAGCACTTCAGAACAGAAAGGGCACAACTTGAGGTTCAATCTAAGTTGGGGTCTCTGAAGAAAAGTAGTTATTTATGTCTGGATTCTCTATCGTTGGACATAACGGCCAAGCCATGCTTGACATAACTCCGGAAGAGGAGAGAGCAAGTCTTCAGGAATGGCTCCAAATCTGCATCGGGATGTTTCTCTTTGTACCTATACAGCTCCTCAAGGCCTGTCCTGGCTGTCTCCTTGGAGTTGATCTTCTTGAAGATCTCGGTCAGGGTGCCATCAGTTTTCTCCTCTGCTGGACAGGAAGAGCCTTTGTCCTCGTCAGTGGTGGTAATCTGCTCTTCTTTAGAGTACCCTAGAAGTTTGAATAGGTGGGCTTCCAACTCAGACTCATCTGTGTCTTCTATAAGAATGAGATGATCCAAGACCTCGTCTCCCTTCAGCTTGCAAATGATGTGCAAAAGAGCCTTCACTGCCCGGAAAGGATAGCCGCTTTGGTACTTCTTCAATTTTTCCTTGGGCCAAGTCTTCATGAAGATGTGAGTATCTAAGAGGACCTGATCCAAATTGATACAGTCAATGGTTTCTGGGAGGCGCTTGGTGATATGCCACAAACACTTGGCCACCATTTCTGAAAAGGCAAAGAGATTTGTGTTGGCTGTCATGCCTTCGCAGAGGAGAAGCAGCAAAGAACTGAATAGCCTGGTCTGATCAGATTTCTGCAAGACTTTGGTGACCAAGAGGTTGACTGCTTGGCTAATTTTGTGCCCTTCTTGATGTTCTTCAACCGGGGAGTCCAGCATGAGGGTGACCAGGCTGCACAGCAGGTCCTTCAGAACCCCTGCAGAAGCTTCCCTGGCCAGTCTGTCCACCTGGAAGAGGGCGATCATGCTACAAATGACACGGCTGTAAAGCTCTAGGACCTGCTCCCTTCTCATCTCCTCCTCTGCCGTCACATAGAGCCGATGGAGGAATTTCAGCTGCTGGACTACTGCTATCAAGAATTGGTTGATGTGGCCAGACATGATTTCTACTTTGTCCTCCTGCCGCAGAATCGTTTGGATCAGCAATAGGGCCTCAATGCAGGTGCTGATGTTGCCACTGGCTGCCTGGCAGATGATCATATTGATGTTGGGGGGACTCCTCATCTTGGTCTGAGGCTCAAATGTTACACTTTGGAGGAGTTGCTTCTCTAGTCTTGGATTGTTGCAGAAGACCATTTCACCAGCATTCTCCACCTCGAAGTGGTCAGGAGGAGAAACGAAATTTTCTTCTTCGTCGGCATATTCGTTTTCAACCTCCTCTTCATCTTCTTCATCATCTGTGCAGTAGTCACTTCCATAATTCTGTTTGAAGGAGTCTGGGGATCCCTGCCTAGCAGCCAGATGGAAGAATAGGCTGCCCCCTTTGTCCTCTCTTCCGTGCTTGGCTTCAGCTGCTTTTATATTCCCTTCCAAGGAACTCATGTGTTTGTCAGATATGTTTCCAATGATCTTGAAGGCTTCAACTCCAAATACATCTCGGGCAGTTCCAATGACTTTCAAGGCAGCATTATGAACAGCGTTGTTTGAATCCCCTATCAACGTGATGATTGTTTTCAGTGCTTTCTTTGGGTTTGGCTGGCAGACCTCTGGGCCGTATGCCTTGAGCAGCCACCCCAACTCTTTCAAGCACCCCACCCGTTGGTTGGCATTCTTGGCCTGGGCTCCTTCCAGGAGGTAACAGAAGGTCCTTGAAGCTGGGTAAACCACCGTTACCTGCTTCACAATGGCCCGCACCTCTTTCAGGATGGACTCCTTGGCCACCCCCATTTTTAGGAGAAGGTAGGGGAGGAAGGAGGAGGCTTCGTTCTCCATGAGCTCATACTTTTCTTCAATCAGCAGATCAAAGAGTCTTTTCAGGTAGTCTAAGGTCTTCATGAGCACCCATGTGTTGGTATCGAACAAACGCAAGCTGAGCCATTTCAGTAAAAGGTCCAAGCAGCTGATGGCCCCTTCCCGCTCCGCTTCCAAGTGCTTGGCCATCACGTTGAGAGCTTTAATGTGATGCTGAAAATTGGAGTGAAACAGCTCCTCCTGTAACCAGTTGGCAATACAACCACTCATCTGAGCCTTGAGCTGCTCAATGTACTTGCTACTTGGAGTACTAAAGTTCCACCTCAGCACCCTCAGAGCCTTCTCATCCTTTGCCCTTTGTTCTTTGGCCTTAGGAATCAGGATGAAAATGTGGCCCAGCTTGGGGCTCTCTTCTTTCATGCCAAAGTTTGCTTGCATCTTCATATTTTGAAGCTTCTTCACTTTGAGGACAGTGCCTTCTGATTTGGCTTTTCTGACCTCCAAGCTCAATTCACTGGACGCCAAAGTTTCAGGAAGGAAAGAAGAAGGTGGGTTGCACTCCTTAGCCAAAGTCATGGTTGACTTGAACCAACATTTGCTCGTTGGGAGCTTGGGAAGGGACTTGGAGAAGCGGATCTGGGGCTTGGTGGAATTTCCTACTTTGAGCTTCTCTAGCATCACTAATACCTGGTCTTGGGAAGCTGGCTTCAGTTTGCTGGCAGCTTCAGACATCTTCTCAAAACCCAGGTGGAGAAGGAAGAAAGGCAGAGCATCATGGGCTGCCATGCTCTTTTCTTCATTCATGTCCTCCAGATCTGCGTAGAGGTGAGGCACACAACGAAACAAGTCTGCAGAGACAGAACCATAACAGGGAGAAGGCAGTTTTTCAGCCAGCCAGCCCAGAATCCCTTGCTTGTGGTTGATATAGTCCTTCTTCATATCAGTTGTGGGATCTTCCCCTCCCAACCAATCCTTCATGCCAGTCTGTTCAGCCCAGGTTTCCACAGTTGTAAGAGCCATTGTTCTCAGGTTGCTCTTGTTGTCTCTCAAGATCGCAATGATGGACATTCCCAGAGACTTGACATGATGCCGAAGACCTGGTCCCATGGCCCTGGCCAACTGTTGGAGCACAATCAAGGTCTGCTTCACAAGGGCTTTATTGGAGTCATGCAAACATGCCTTCAAGATGTTTGAGAGCTCCCCGATGTTGGGCTGGATGGCATCAACATTGCTGAGGATCCTAGACAAGTCCTCCAACCCGTCCTTGCGCACCTTCCAGTTCGGGTCCTGCATTTTCGCCATCAGCTCCCATGAGATCTTCTTCCGGATATCAACAGCATCGTTCTCCCTGACAGGCTGGGCATCACCTCCTCTCTGGTCACTCGCACTATCTTTGTTGGACTTGTAGAAGCCACGAGTTGGAAGGGGTGGTCTCTGGCCATGTACCTTCCCAAACTCAACATCTATCTGATAGAGGAGAGGTGACTTTTCATTCTCAAAGAAGGTCCTCAGTGGGAGTCCTACATACAGGTACATGACTCCTAGGAGGTGGAAAGCAGAAGCCCTCTCCTCTGGGTGGATGGCAGCCAGAGCAGTTTTGATATAGCTAATGAGGTTCTTGGCTTCCATGCCTGCAAAGCCAAACTCCTTGATGGCCCCAGTCAGCCAGTTGAACGTTTCCGTGTGGGTCCTGGGGCTCTCCTGCAAGAAAGCAGCCTTGGCAACCTGCTCTGCTGTCCAAGGCAATCCACATGCTTCTGCCACGGCAGTTAGAGCTATTTTGGTGTCCTTGCTGCAGATTATATCCCCAATCTTCTCCACTAACTTTCCCAAAACAAGCCGAGCTGCAGTTCTGGAGAAGTTCCCCCTTTGAGCAGTGAGGGTGACAATAGACAGCTTCTTCTGAATCACATGGAGTTTGGTGTCGTTCCATCCCAGTCCTCTATCCAGTAACCGTACTAACGATTGGCAAGGCATCTGGTGCTTTTCCATCCCTTCCACAGTCTTCTGCAAGGTCTCCAAGGCAGAAAAGCGCTCTTTCCAATCTGTGCTGTCCAAGCGTTGGAGACAGGATGCCGGGAAAACAGCTGCGGCTTCCAGGTCACATAATTCTTCTGAAAGTTCCTCCTCTGACTCATCCTTTAGCTCTAGCATCTTAGCTGGACTTGAGTTCTAGAATGTGGAGCATGGCGACTTTGCCCAAGGGGGTGTCTCCCAGCTGAGAGAAAGCCAAGGGCATTCCAGGAAAGGACCGGAGAAGCCAGGGGTCTCTTTGGAGATGTTCTTGGCAACCCCGACCATGAGCTGCCCCCTGAGGAGCTGATGGTGCCCAGCCTTTTGGGGAAGGAGGGGGCTGCCCAAAGGGCTACTGCTCCAGCTTAGACTGCAGTGACCCCTGCCTGAAACCTCATGTGGTCATTGTGAGGTCAGTGGCACTTGGCAAGGACAGGGAGCCACCGGGGCAGAGCAACAAGGGACCTGACACTCCAAAGAGCCATGACGTTGTAGGTATATTTGGTACCTACAGCAGAGGAGAGTGCAGCGTATTCAGTTCTACATATGGTAAGAAACAGGAAAGAAAATACACCAGATGCTCTGGTAAGGTTCAAAAAAGGCTAAAAGCGTACTTTTATTGTTGCAGGTAATACATCTCAGATAAGACTGTACTTAGACAAAAGAAAGTTGCCTAACTTGGGTGGAAGAAGAATTCCTCATTCTGACTCTCATGCCTCTGTGTCAAGCCCCATCTACACTGTCCTTATATCCCAGGATCTGATTCCACATTGTCTGCTTTGATTGTATGAGTCTCCACTGTCATATAATCTGGGATAAACAGATAATTTGGGTTCAGATCCTAGGGTATAGGGCAGTGTAGAAGGGACCTCAGATATCTTGAGGCAAATAAAGGAGAATAAAGAACTAAAGACTTTGGGGAAGAAGAAGAAAGTGAGCTCTACTGCAGGCAAGAAGGCTGAACACCTTGAGCTACATAGATATACGAAACACAGGTGAAAACAAGATGGCAGGCATGCACCGCAAGGTTCTCTCTGTCCCCAATTGCTCCATAGACAAGTGATGATGTGTCTCCACTTCCTGAAGTCTTTGTTTGGCAAATGAGATTAATAACAAAGACCCTCACCATAAAAGTATACAACAGAGTAGCTTAGATAAACTGAACCACCAAGATGAATTGAACCACCTCAACTGGGCTCTCCAGGCCAATGGAGAATCCACCTCAGACATCAGAAGAGCTGCAAGACCAAGAACAAGCCACAAGAGTCAAGACCAAGATCTATCCAGAGGAAAAGTGTTCTTGCCAGACATCAAGGGAACCACTGATCGCAGAGGGAAGCTGATGAGGAAACACAACATACAAACTATCTACAGACCCACCAAGAAAATCCAACAAATGCTATGTTCAGCAAAGGACAAGAGGGATCCTCTCAGTTCTGCAGGAGTCTACCGTGTACCATGTAGCTGTGGACAAGTCTACAGAGGGACAACCAAACGCAGCAGCATTGCCCAAACACGAATCAAGGAACATGAAAGGCACTGCAAACTACTTCAACCAGAGAAGTCAGCCATAGCAGAGCACCTGATGAACCAACCTGGACACAGCATATTATTTGAGAACATGGAAATGCTGGACCACTCTCACAACCACCATGTCAGACTACACAGAGAAGCCACTGAAATCCACAAGCAGGTTGACAATTTCAACAGAAAGGAGGAAACCATGAAAATGAACAAAGTCTGGCTACCAGTATTTAAAAACTCTAAAATTAGAACAGCACAACAACAGAGAGGAAACAAACAAAAACATCTAATCACCTCTCAACAAAAGATTGCTCCAGGCCCTGCCAGGCCATCAAATGCTAATCAAGGTGGTCAGTTGAAACATTCACACCTAGCTCCAGCAGACAAGAGTCCTTTGTCCCACCCTGGTCATTCCACAGATATATAAACCTTTTTTCCTAGTTCCAACAGACCTCACTACCTCTGAGGATGCTTGCCATAGATGCAGGCGAAACGTCAGGAGGAATGCCTCTAGAACATGGCCATATAGCCTGAAAAAACCTACAACAACCTAGTGATCCCGGCCATGAAAGCCTTTGACAATACAGAGTAGCTTATTTAGCAGCAGCAGCAGTGTGACCCAGTAGCCAGTATAAGACGAAATAAAAACGCACACAAACTATTGTTATCTTGTATTGTCGAAAGCTTTCATGGCTGGAATCGCTAGGTTCTTTTGGGGTTTTTTCGGGCTATGTGGCCATGTTCTAGAGGCATTTTCTCCTGACGTTTCGCCTGCATCTATGGCAAGCATCCTCAGAGGTAGTGAGGTCCTCACTACCTCTGAGGATGCCTGCCATAGATGCAGGCGAAACGTCAGGAGAAAATGCCTCTAGAACATGGCCGTATAGCCCCAAAAAACCCACAAGAACCTATTGTTATCTTCCTTCAGAGGCCTTTCTTGTAGAAAAATAATATGGTTACAAAAACAAACAGGGTTTTCATAACACAAACAAGTAAGTCCTCAATTGTGAAAATTCTCATCCGTACAACGTTTTCCTAGTCAGGGATTCCAGATACAAGAGAAATATACTTTTTTTACCTTCCCAGATATTGTTGAATGGTCTTTCCATTCCTCATTCGCTATCAAGAACGTTTCCTATATCTTCCTTTGTGGCTACAATCCAACTTCACCCACTGATTTTCCAAGAGCCTTTCGCTCAAAATAAACTGTCAACAAATCTGCCCCGTACATCTAAAATTAAAACACAAAGGAGAACAAAAGCAAAATATGACGTTGATGATTCATTCCGTATCCTGCTGTTGATGCTCAAGCACATTTCCTAGAACAAGTAATTGAGAGACAATGCTTTGGTTTCCTTTGAACAGGTTGTTGGGCTTTGCATCCCAAAGGCCATATTAATATATCTCAAAAGATGGGCAGGTCAATATGCAGGGAGGTCATGGAGTCATAGAAACACTGAGTGGGTCATTTGGCCAGCGGTGCTAAACAGCAGTGGTCCATGAAGCAGAACCAGTTAACAAGCTGTTCTTTGCTGGTTTCCGTGAAAGGGTTTCATGAAAGGAAGTGGCCATTGGGTACAAATATGGTGCCCAAACCTGGCCCATTGGATTTAAAAAAGTTTTCTGCCCTTTACATAGCTTAAGAAGTCCTGTTCTAGTCCATTCTTGGGACTTACCATCTAAAGAGTGGGTTTGAGCTCCCTTTGTCAGCTCTAACTCCCCATGTGGGGACATGAGAGATGCCTCCCACAAAGATGGTAAAACATCAAGACATCCGGACGTCACCTGGGCAACGTTCTTGCAGACGGCCAATTCTCTCATGCCAGAAGCGACTTGCAGTTTCTCAAGTTGCTCCTGACACAAAAAAAGCAATTAACCTCAAGTTAATATAGTTTAAGTAACCTTGGATAATGTTGCATAGATACAAGTGAGTGACACCGACTTGATATAGTGACAAATGCAAGATACTCCACTTTGGCAGGAAAAACGAAATGCAAAGATACAAAATGGGGGACGCCTGGCTCGAGAGCAGTACGTGTGAAAAAGATCTTGGAGTCCTCGTGGACAACAAGTTAAACATGAGCCAACAATGTGATGTGGCGGCAAAAAAAGCCAATGGGATTTTGGCCTGCATCAATAGGAGCCTAGGGTAGGGAAGTAATGCTCCCCATGCTCTATTCCGCTTTGGTTAGACCACACCGGGAATATTGTGTCCAATTCTGGGCACCACAATTCAAGAGAGATATTGACAAGCTGGAAAGTGTCCAGAGGAGAGCAACTAAAATGATCAAGGGTCTGGAGAACAAGCCCTATGAGGAGCGGCTTAAGGAGCTGGGCATGTTTAGCCTTAAGAAGAGAAGGCTGAGAGGAGATAGATAGCCATGTATAAATATGTGAGAGGAAGCCACAGGGAGGAGGGAGCAAGCTTGTTTTCTGCCCCCCTGGAGACTAGGACGCGGAACAATGGCTTCAAACTACAAGAGAGGAGAGGTACTCTGAACACGAGGAAGAACTTCCTGACCGTGAGACGTTCAGCAGTGGAACTCTCTGCCCCGGAGTGTGGTGAGGCTCCTTCTTTGGAAGCTTTTAAACAGAGGCTGGATGGCCATCTGTCAGTGAAGATTTGAATGCAATATTCCTGCTTCTTGGCAGAATGGGGTTGGACTGGATGGCCCAGGAGGTCTCTTCCAACTCTTAAAAAAAATAAAAAATAAAAAATAAAAAAGTATATGGATCCAAGAACCTTCCTCTCTAGACGTATTTAGGCAGAGACCGGATGGGCATCTGTTGGGAGGGATTGCATTGTGTTTTCTTGCCTGGTGGAATGGAAATTGACTGGATGGCCCTTGGGCTCTCTTAGGACTCAACAATTCTATAAGTAGCAGATACCATAGAAATACTATGATCTGTAAACGGCACATTGTTGCAGGTAGATTGATGCCCCATCTACCATGTAATGGATTTTGACAATTCGTTGTATGGTCAGTGTAGATTCAGATAATGCAGTTCAATGAGTTAAACTGCATTATATGAATCTACACTGACCCTATAATACAGTTTCATACTGTATTTTATGGTAGTGTAGACATGGCCTCAAACACACATTGCCTCAGGCCCCTTCTGCACTGCCATAAAATCCAGATTATCAAATCAGATAATCCATGTTATCTGCTTTGAACTGGATTATCTGAGTCTACAGTGTTCAAAGCAGACAATCTGGATTTTATATGGCAGTGTACTTACTTACTTACTTACTTACTTACTTACTTACTTAGGCAATCCCTCGTTGGACAAGGATAGAATTCCATGATCAGTATTCTTGTGGATCCGTAAGTGGCTGTGGAGCCCTATTCTTGACCTGCATCTTCTCCCACAGTGAGGACATCGGTTTCCAGGTGAAAGGCGGTCTTGGTCGGGGTTGGCTTGACATGCCTTCCTCTTGGCATGCTTCTCCCTTTCGCCCTCCATTCGTGCCTCTTCAAATTCTGCAGCACTGCTGGTCACAGCTGACCTCCAGCTGGAGCGCTCAAGGGCCAGGGCTTCCCAGTTCTCAGTGTCTATGCCAGAGTTTTTAAGGTTGGCTTTGAGGCCATCTTTAACTCTCTTTTCCTGTCCAC